TTCTCCCCTTTCAGGCTGTACCTCATCTGCTTGCGACAGCTGCCTTTCCAGCGCAATACTGTCATCTACTTCTGCAGCTGTCAATGGCGCTGGCCCTGTTGCCTTGGGGGGCAGTGTCTCCAGTGGTTGCTCCACTTCTGCTTGCACAGGCTGTGCTGCTTTGGCAGGCTGCGCTTTGGCAGGACTTTTGGATTGAAATTCTGCTGCCATTTCCTTCGGCTGTCCCTGAGCCTTGGTAGGAGGTTGTTGTGCTTGTGGCTTAGCAGCTGCTTTTGCCGGAGGCGCTTGTGCTGACTTGGCTGCTGCTTTTGCAGGAGGCGCTTGTGCTGCCTTGGCTTGTGCTTGGGCAGGAGGCGCTTGTGCTGGCTTGGCCGCCGCTTTTGCAAAAGGCGCTTGCGCGGGCGCCACCGCTTTAGTAGGAGGCACTTGGGCTGGCTTCGCTGCAGCTTTTGCGGGAGGCACTTGTGCCGCCTTGGCTTCTGCTTGGGCAGGAGGCGCTTGCGCTGGCTTGGCTGCTGCTTTTGCAGGAGGCACTTGTGCCGCCTTGGCTTCTGCTTGGACAGGAGACGCTTGCGCTGGCTTGGCTGCTGCTTTCGCAAGAGGCACTTGTACCGCCTTGGCTTCTGCTTGGGCAAGAGGCGCTTGCGCTGGCTTGGCTGCAGGAGGCGCTTGCGGGGCCTGCGCCACCGCTTTAGCAGGAGGCACTTGTGCTGGCTTCGCTGCTGCTTTTGCGGGAGGCGCTTGTGCTGCCTTGGCTTCTGCTTGGGCAGGAAGCGCTTGCGCTGGCTTGGCTGCTGCTTTTGCAGGAGGCGCTTGCGGGGCCTGCGCCACCGCTTTAGCAGGAGGCACTTGGGCTGGCTTGGCTGCTGCTTTCGCGGGAGGCACTTGTGCCGCCTTGGCTTCTGCTTGGACAGGAGAGGCTTGCGCCGGCTTGGCTGCTGCTTTTGCAGGAGGCACTTGTGCCGCCTTGGCTACTGCTTGCGCAGGAGGCGCTTGCACTGGCTTGGCTGCTGCTTTTGCAGGAGGCGCTTGTGCTGCCTTCACTGCTGGCTTGGGCACTGCTTTAGGTGGTGCTGGTGCTTTGCCTGCTACTTTGGCAGGGGAGTCAGGCGGTTGTTTTGGCTGCTCTGCAGCCTTCTTCGCAGGTGGCTGCTCTACTCTAGGTGTTCCCTTGGGTGTTGAAGGTGCTGACGGCGGCTTTGCCTGTGGCTTTGCAGCCGGCTTGCTGTTTGCCTGCGGCTGTGTCTTTCCTTTACCGGAGAGCGCTTGTAGCATATCAAGCCCAGCAACCGGAGCTGCCGTTTTTGGCCCTTCCAAGGGCAGCAGGCATCTGAAGGAAGAATCTCATGAGGAACATCTGTCCAACGGGCCGATCAGTACGTGACTTGAGCACGGTTCCCTGAATGAATTGGTTTGAAAGGATCCTCCGAATGACTACCTTGTATGCCCTGAGCTCTGTATACAGATTGGCTGGGGATATGCCTGCGTTCAACATGGCACTGGGCATGCATGCTTGACAAATCTCCACACTACTTCGCTGCGATCCTCAGCTGAGCGTTAGAACTTCCCCTTGCAGCTGCAGCACAAAAGCAAGCAAAGTAATCCGCTTGGGCACCGGACGTATCAGCGTACGGCGGGTGCGGCATATCTACCAACGAAGCCCTCTTCCCGCCATGGCTAGAGACTACACACCTTTACCAGCCACCGGTCCCCAAAGTAGCTGGACCAAACACTGGTGAATGTCCAATGGTTCTGCTGGCCTGGCCTGATCTGATTGCCCGCATGCAATAACCTAACATGAGGAAAGGATGGTCTTGAATGTGGTTGCGCACCAGGCCTAAACATATTCTGGCGCGGCGTTGTCAGATTCCGCAGGCAGTAACCTCTGTCTGCAAACCGGGTACAGCCTGTGCTTTGCTGCTGCTTGCAGAGTGAAGACGCAGCCGCCAGGCAGTTTTCCGCTGGCAGACTAGCCTTGGCTGGCCTCCAGTTTCCCTGGCCTGGGCACTCGTGTCCGAAGCATGGGGTAGAAATGGGTAAAGCCCCTCTGAACCTAGGGCTGGTGTGGTGCTATGAGACCCGTTTGACGCACGTTCGGGCGGTGGAGGTTTGCATGGGAAAACCCTGCCACAAGCCCCCAACCGTGCCCGACTTAGGTTGCGGGCAGCCTGATGATGATCCACATGCCGATGAACATGAGCACAAGTGGCACCTGGTCTGGCACGGCATTGTCGCATTGCGCACTGACCCGCTGACCCGCTGACCCGCTAAGCTCAAGCTGCAAGCGCTGCGGGCTGATTATGAGCATCGCGCAATCCAGTGGCACACAGCCCCGCTGAAGAAAATAGATGCTGCCGCAAGCAGCAGCCCACACCTCAACTGCAGTGAGAAAGTTCAATTTGTCCGTGTCAAGCTTCTACGCGCGCGCGCTTTGAAACACATGGCCATCTCGTCAACACCGTGACACTGTGGATCAAAAGTTCGCATGCCGTGGCCGCATGTATTGTGGGTCGAGTGGCGTGACTGGTGCTCCGCATCCATGCTCTCTAAACTTCACCTCGCCGGGCACTTCTTCCTGCTTCCCTGTAGAACGTATCAGTTTCAACACTGGCTCGTCAACTATTCACTTCGTGCGACAGCTCCTTCTATCTTGGTGATTGGTGCCCGCAACCCTTGCCAAACATCGCGCCAGCATTCGCCTGCATCATGCCAGCCACGACGCCTGCCAGGCTCCGTCTAACTTCTATAGTTCAAGATCGCCCAGAGTCTGCCCCCTGAATCCTTCAGCGGGAGAATCACAACTGATAGCATCTACTAGCATTTTAGGCATATTATTCTAGCGTGTTCTCCCCACTTTGCCCCGCCTGCGGTGCAAAGTATGAAGACCAAAAGTTGAAACCATGCGAATCCCTCGAAGTCGCGAAATAGGCGACCTCAGGAGTGGCCACAAAGCAAACAGATGCAAACACGCATGCCTCCTGGGGACACCTGCATCCCTTTAGAAAGGCCTTGGCAAGAAGGTTTTCCCTAACAAACCTCGTTGAAGCCTTACTAAGACTTCACTATGGGGATCATTGGGTCCCAAGGGGGGAGCAGGGGAGTGGGTTTCGCAAGCCCCCAAATCACCTCACCTCAGTACAGTTGCTTCTACTTAGGCGTTCACTGAAGAAGTCTTGAGATGTCCTGGCGGCTATGCTCACATAAACGTCCACAACACTTTGATTCTCGGCAGGCCTCACCGCGTGAAAGGCACAGATGAACGGCATTGCAATCCACGGTTCCTCTGACATCTCCTGGCAAACTCTGGGAGAATCAATCCTAAGCACGATTTCCAGCACAAGGGCATGACCGGATCACACAAACAGCAGCCGAGCAGCCTCAATGCTCAGGTCATTCACGTGAGCTCGCTGCATCGCGTGTACCTTTGCGAGACTGCATATCTTTCTGTGCTGGGACAAACTTCTGAATCTTGATGCGAGCTTTCGTGCTTTAGCCATTTGCCCTTCTACTCTTACTACGTCGCAACATTTGAGGCAGTGAGGAAGCTGCAAATGTTTACAACGTGTTCTTACGCGACTGTTTGCACACGCAACCTTGTGGCAGCCCTGAACTGCAAGAATCTTCTGACTCAGGCTGTCCTCGGCCACGTCGGTGGTGGCCAGCGTGAGCTTTGTCTGCAGCAGCACTAAGTCAACAGGGACCTGTCACGACACGTCTGAATGCTTTCATGTCACATCTGGCTCCACGGTCCCGGTACAAACCACGTGCAGAAAATCTCAGAACATGTCAGAACAGTACCCAGTACCCCGTATGAGCTCACAAGCTGCCCAACCTCAAGGCTGCCATCATCCAGGAATTCTTGTGCCAACACCTGCGCACAACAAGCGGCCACAACAAACAAGTGTTTGCACCATCCCAGCCCACTTCCCGCGGGCCTTGCATGGGAAGGCAAGCAACCAGGCTGGCAAGAACCTGCAACAGTCACAACTCTGGTAGGCGACTCGCATACTGTGCCCACGTGCGTGGCATCCAAGTCATGATCGCTTCCAAATCGAAATGCTTCTCTGAAAGTCAGGATTCTCAAGCAGAGCTGAAATCCTTTTGCATGCGCACACATGCAAAGACATATTCAAAGGATGGGTTGCAGCAAGGCGGTGGCCTCCTGAGCATACTTATCACGGCTGCATTCCACGCAAAACCTCGACATGAAACAATGAAAGGCAGTCGCTTGCCAAGTTGCCAACCAAAGCAACAACTAGCGTGCATGAGGCCTGTACGCAAGTCATGGGTGTCCGACAAGCATCCATAGGCGAATAGGCTACCGCGGGTCAGCCTGCCCCGCTAGCGTAAGCCAGAATGCAAGGCAAAACAAGATTCCAAGCCATTTGTCAGCAATCGCAAAACAAGAACGCATGGCACACTGCAGCTTTTCTTTTCTTCACGAGGAGCAGCCAATGCATGGGCTATGCCCAAGCATCGGGTTCTGGAATGGAAATGACCATTGCTCCCATTTTTGGGCTTGTCATTGCCAAGTAAACTCCTGGCCCCCCTGCTACCTTAGGTACTGACTGCATCTTGTGACAGCCAAATGCAGGGATGCTGTGCATGGGCACTAAACATGTATATCAGAAATGTTGAAGGCTGGGTCTTGTTGCTTGTCAAGGCTTGCCGCAGGCAGCAGGCTGCTTGAAAAGTACATGCAGATGTGTCTCTGAAGAAAAGTCTGTCGCAAGTCCCGTCTTCCTTTGCAGAACACCTGTGTGCTCGAGCTGCTGACAGCTCTGCCTGTACACACCTAGGGCGTGCTTAGGCGTAACTGGGATCGCTCAACGCAGGCACTCTGGCACTGCTGGGAAAAGGCGGCCCCAAATAAGAATGTGCAATTGCACGTGCCGAGGCGATGACATCATCACGCAGCCCGCGCTTGCTTCAGTGAAGCGGCGGGATGCAGTATACGTCACGAGGCGCGGCACGCCAAAATTGGCAGAAAAAGGCTGGATGCAATCCTTCTTTTCTTGGGCGTTCAAGGCATTGCACAATACCAAGGGTTGTTGTTGGATTGACATCTCGCCACAAGCAGACAAGGATGCTGCCAACAACCTATGTTTACACACATTGGCGCAGCTGATCATGCGGCGCTTCAAAGGCAGCATATTATGCCAATGCTCACACAGCCGATTTGTCCAGCGTTGTCTCTTCAGCTCTGAAGCATCTGGTCTGTCCTGAGGCGAGATCCATCTTTTTCAGAGTGCAGACTACCGCCTTGCGACTCGGTTCATCCCCGCCTAGAATCCCGTGCGCGGGCTAGTCTGTGGCGAGTGGGCAGGGCTCTCCTCACCGAAGCCAACAGGATCCGAACGTCAGCCACCAAGCCGCGCCAACCATGCATGTCCTGCTGCGACGCAAGTAGCATCCTCCCCGCAGAGGGTAAGGGTGGCCCACGTGGCCTGACAGCAGAGATCAAGTACCACCAGCGGCCTGCACAATGACTCACAATGACAATGTGCAAGTCACGAGCCTCACAATGGGGTCCAAGCGGCGAGGACCTGCACAGCCGTGGCTCTCTTCACAGGCTGAACGCACATCACCAAGAAACATGTGCCGAAGAGGCTAGCGCCTGGCGACGGCGAACTGGCCGCAGTTGATGTCGGACTTGTCGACCTGAGCAACAGCACTCGACCCCTTGGGCCTTAGCCGGCATGGTCGAACCATGTCGAACCTGTGCTGGAAATTGCTTGACTGGTGACTGAACTGTGACCCAAGCCGTGCTCCCTCGGAAGGTGGCACTAAAAGACTTCCGTCACCCGGGCCTGACAAATCAAACATGAGTAGCCTCAAAAGAGTGCCTTGCCACAAATCCTGGGAACCCATGCAGTTGTTCTCTTGCCTCCACGTCTGCTCACTGCTGAAGATGGCCGCTGAGGGGTCTGCACGGGAAAAGGACAAGCCGTGACAAGACTCCAGCCATCTCCAGCCCAGCCCGGCAAGCAAACTGCAAGACAGTGCGGAAAGGATGTAAGCATGATTCCAACCTTGCCACTCAAAAGATGTAGCCCGTCGCAGAATCCACAAGACTTCCCCGCGTGCCTTGAAGTCACTGTGATTCTCGGATCGCTGCGGGCTCACTTGTCGCCCCTTGCCAGAACTGCTAAGAGTAGTTTGAAGGCTTCAAAACAGCCAACGTCCCACGTACAATGTAACTAGCGTTAAGATGCGTTAAACATATCCAGCACTCAAGAGGGCTTTACAAGCATCCAGCGCGCCTTGAAGTCATTGCGATTCTCAGACCGTTGCGGGCTTGCTTGTCGAGCCCGCTGAGGGCTCGTTTGCCGAGGCCCTGACAACAAGTATCGTGGTCAGGGTTTAAGAGGACACATTGATATTGCAGCCACTGCCCACAAGTGCTGCCAAACTGCCAGACTTGATCCTCAGCACTCGCTTGTGCCGGTATGTGCCGGTTTGTTTTCTTCGGTACATCTATGCGACCAGGTGCGAAACGCATAAAATGGTATGTTGCCTCAACTGGATAAGGATGGGACTCTTCGAGCTGTGCGAGAAGATCATTATGCGTCATCTGCAGGGAGAAAACAATCATAACATTCTATCCACACTGGAAAAAAACAGCATTGGTGCACCTGGCCTGTCCCTTTGACTGAGGCACATAGGAAGTTGGTTCCTGTGGCGTGGCGCAGTTGATGCCGTGTGACCAAACGGGACGCTAAGCCGCTGAGCCTCTATTTCTGGCTCCTCTGGCTCAGGGGAGTGGGCGTGCTGGTGCGGGCGAAGGTTCGAGTCCGAACCTGCGCCAGGGGATTTTTTAACTGAGATTTTCCGGCCATTTGCCTGGCTCACCACGATGGAGGCTGCTTTCACGCCGCCTTGGCGAGGTATGCATTTTGGTGGCTCAGCGCGCTCACCATTGGCATTCGAAGCAAATTCCCTCCTGCTCGGCCTCTTGGAGACGGAGAGCGGCTCACTCGACTGGCCCTGCCATGCAGTGCTGAAGATCGCTTCAGCATATCCGAAAATCCAAACCTTCCCTTTCTGCAAAGGGCTCAAGCAAGCCACTTGCGCGCCTCATGATCACTTGCAGCCTGTTGACGTCGTTGCTCGGCACGTGCCAACCTGCATACTGCTGCGTGCGTGCCCGCGCAGAGTATGCATCATGCATCTTCGCACCACAAAGTGAGGGACGGCAACGAAAACGGGCCCCGGCCTAGTGGCTGGCAGCATGCCCAGGCCGGGAGACGAGGCTCTCCTTGCTGCTGCAGCTGCAGAAGCTTGCCTCCTGCACATGCTCAAGAAGCGGTGAACACGAGAACGGTTCAAAAGCAAGAGGAAAGCAAGCTGGATTTGGATGCACCATGCCCCAGGGTGCCCCACAAATCAGCTAAACACCGATTGAACGCAGTGGCTGCGTCCAGTGTAATGACAGATAGCCATGCCTGCCTCACAGCCAGGTCAACCTGTCAGGGCATGGTGCGCGTCGAACGCTTTCAATTCAAGGAATCAGTCGTGGACCACGCCAAATGCTCTCTCACCAGTGCGCGATTAACGTGTCACTGAAACTCGCCTGCAAGTGCGAAGTGTGGCGTCCAGTGCCTGGCAAACCTTTTAAGAATTACAGCCCCTGCCTCTAGCCCATCAGTCCGGGAAGCCCGCGCTGTGGCTGGTGGCGACCTCACAAGGGGCCCTGTGACCAGAGGCCATCCGGGCACATCTTTGCACGCACGATGCACCCCGCAGCTTTCATTTGCAATATATGTATACAGTATACATACATGTGTGTCTGTGTACCGTGTCTCTTTATATATGTCTAATATATGTCACTCTATCGCTCTCTCCTTCTCTCCAAATTGCTGTAGACGAAAATTGCCTTTTTTCATGTTCAATCTATATAAATCCAGCGCCTCGTGAGGCTGCGCGCAGGTTTGGCCTGCAAATCTGCAATTTGAATCAAGCCCAATATCATGACCACTTCAAACGGAGGGCCGCTCGGAGAAGCGACCGCCAACAGTTTCCGTGAGATTCTGCGTAAGGTTGATTTGTTAGCAGCTCTCCCCAGAAGAGTGAAATCATCTGGAATCCTTGCTAACCATCATACAGAGCGTACCTGTCCGCACTGAGGTCTACCGTGCATGTCAGCCGTTGAGATGACGTGTGACCCGGCCTCTTCTCTTTGTGTAGAGTCGTACCTCAGCACATGGCTTGCCCAGAACGAATTCGGATGCTCGTTAGCCTGGGCAAAGGGGCAAAAGGGGTGTGTCTAGGGCTCGAGCGTGGAGCTCTGAAAGCTGGAAGTTTCAACCTCAACCTTGGCCTGGCATTCTGGGTGCCCATGCCAGGTGAGAGGATTCAAAGGCAACCAGGCCTCGTCGCGCTTGATTTCTCCCCAGGCTGGCATTGTGCATTCTACCTGCTTCTTGCGCGCCGCGTTTGTCACCACGTCCGCCTCAAGCCTTGCGCTTGAGATGCTGCTTGATTGGGACACCAAAGAACAGCGCACCCCCCCCCCCTCATGCAAAGTAGCCAAGGCACATTGCAGGTGGGGGCGGGGGAGAAGGTGGTGAAATCGACCTTCGCGTCGCGGCCCCTACCTGGCCAAAGGCCCAACTCCGAGATGCACCGTACAATAACTTCGTTCAAAGCCGCCTGTTCCTATGAACCTGGACTCATGCAATGCCGGGATGGATGGCCTGTGGGATTGGAACATCTGGCAGTTGGCGTTTCACCGGGCTCTCGGGTGTCTGGACTGGACGAGCGCCTGAGAGCTCATGAGTCCCTCTGACGCGCTCCAGCCTGACTGCCTACAATTGCATGCTCAGGCAAATGCAGTGCTTGTCAACGAAGTCTATGCGCCACTTGCTCATGATCCCTGTCACCTGGCCGAAAGCTTGTGAGAGAGCAAAGAGGACTCTGCAAGGTTCCTTCCCCACATTCTTGTGAAACGCAAGTGCGTGCCCGTCTGCGCCTCACGGTCAAGATTGTTCCAATGGCGAGGGTCTGTTGCAGGTCCCGCTATTGAGACCTTCGAGAGGCTTGCGCAACGAATTCCGCCAAACCGCCAGCGCATCATCTCTATTCATGTCAATTTCATGTTTTGTTTTTCTGACGTTTACCCCTCGAAAAACAAAAACATAAGAAGTGAAAGCATGCCACTTGATCTTTATTGCGTGAGCTTCTGCAAGCACAGGCACATGTTTGTTTTCTGAGGGCTTGAGACATTAAGCGATTTCTGCCTTGACCAAGTCTTCAAGCCTCAGTGCAGGCAGTCAGGCGTAAGTCCTCTTGAACCAATGCGGAGGACACGCAAGTCTGAGCTGATGGCAGCCTTTGGATAGCTGGGTTGGCGTGCCACGCCTCGACGTCTCCCATTTGCATGCCCGTGCGATGCCATCCCATTGCGATGCCGTCTGAGGCCCCTACCATGCCGCCAAGGCGAAAGACCGTTTGACAGCCCACAGCTCTGCCCTCTTGCGGCGCTTTCTCCTTCAGGTTGGCTCACAGTTGCTGAGGCAAGCTCTCAGCTTTGAGCTCCCTAGGGAGGAAAACACATTTCGCCAGGTGCGAAAGGAGAGCACCTGCAAACGCTCAAGGTCCTTCTCCAGTTCAGGCTCAGTTTGGGCATGCGCAGCTGGTGGAGCATGAGCAGCAGCAACTTTCTCCAGTTGGCTGGCAGCCTTGCGTTCTGCACCGGAAAGATCTCGAACATCAAGCAGTGCACACACAAAGCCTGCACTCTTCAGCATCAATGGCTGGCCTTGAGCCCCATCTCCTCCAAGTCTTGCAACGCCCTAGCCGCTTTGTCCTCACCTGGCGAGTGAGCTTGGTCCAAAAGCAAGCCTGCTGATATCTACAAGCTTGCATCACCGGTGCTGAAACTGGCTGCTTGCACCGCTGCCCGCACCCTTCGCGTCTTGCAAGGATTCCAGAACGCCTGGGATTGCCCAAATCATGCCGCCCGAGCTGAAACGAAGCACGATGCGCTTGTAGGCAAATTTATCAGGCATGGGCTTTGCGCGTCCGTCAGAACATCCCATGTCTGCACTTGCGCAGTCACCTGTGGATTTGGGATCATCTTTGGCAGAGCGAGATTGTGCTTGTGATGCAAGCCTGGCAAGTCACAGGCTTTGCCGCTCACCCCAGCCTCAGCACCTCGTATCCGGCTCGAGCCCCCGTTGCTCCTCGTGCGTGCCTGCGACTTACAAGCTGAGCGTAGCTTCGCTCAAGTGCCTCTCCCCAAGCCTGTTTGGCCTCCAATACCTCCTGCAGAGGCCCTTGGTCCTGCGTAGGGGTGATGGGAGCAGCATGCCCTATGGTGTTCATTTGGTGCCCAATCATGCTGATGTGTCAGTGTGCAATCAATCGCCCAAGGTCCGACTGCAGAGCTTGTTCCACAGCCTTCAAGCACCCTTCTGCACCTCCAGTTGCGTGTTTGATCAAAATGTGCCGTCCGGATGTGTTACCACTCCGGTTGCAAGTTTGCCTTGGCTGTGGCCATGAACATCCCGCAGAGCAACGACACTTCGTGTGGAATGACAGTTCTCCAAGCTTGCATGAAACACCTGGCAATACTTGGTAAAAAGATGCAAAATGCATTCAGTTCGTTGAGAGGGCTGGTTTTGCTGTTTTGCACAAGGCTGCGACAGCCAGCCCTCGAGTAGAAACTCACCAAGCTTGGCACTGGCTTTTTGGTCTCGCGCCACTTTCTGGACAAGCCGTTTGCCTGGCAGCAAGCAACACTGGCACTGCAGGTCCCGTAGCAAGCTCAAAAACCGACCTGCAGTCCTATCTGGTTCTCCTGCAAGGCCTCCACTTGCCTTGGGAGCAGCCGAGCCGTTTGCCATCCACGTGCCTTGCCTTGCGAAGCGTCATCCGGGGCATGTGCTTCAACCTCCTTCTTCACATCTTGCAGGTCATTCGACAGCGACTCGTACCTACCCCACAAGGTGATATAGCTCAGGCTGTGGCCCAGCGCTCGATCAAACAACCGAGCCCCACGGAAAAACAAAATCTTCAACACAAGATTCAATTTGAAGCAAACGTGACAAGCTTTCTGCAATAAATCTGGGTATCACGGGGAGCTCATTTTGCGTCCTCTTGAGCGCGTCATAAAGGAGGCAGGCGCATTGAGCTTAGAGATTCGACCCACAGGTGGGCTTTGCCACAGCATTGGCGAGATTGGCAAAAATCGCCACTGTACAACTGAGACCAACGGCCCAAAACTTGCATATGGCCTAGGCTGTGAGCTGGTGATATCTGGTGACCGGTGTGGTGGCCCCCGCAAAAGATATGACGCTCGTGGCCGCTAAGACTACTTGCTGATGTATAGCAGTTGCTTTGGTTGCTCTTGGGGTTGGCTTAGTTTTGTCGGTTTGTGGTTGTCAGTACGGGCGGGTCAGCCTGTGAAAACAAAACCGCAAGGACAATGACATTGACAGAGTTCCTCCTTGTCATGGATGTTCTTCATACTCACGTATAAATACTGGACATTGCCACTTTTCGCGTTGGCTTTGTGTTGTCATTGCAGGAGCAGCTCAAAATACGGTTTAAGGCTCATTGAATTTGGCATGACCTTCATACTGATGCATCTTGAACACTTACTATTACTACCTTTCAACAGTTTTCCAACAATCAGATGATGTTTAGATGTTTAAATGATGTTTAAAAAAAACAACGAGACAGGAGTTGGTTACATGTTCAGATTCGGTCGCTCGTCGTTTGATTGGCAGTTTGATGCAGTTTGGCCGCCGCAGCAATTTTGGCCGCTCAGCTTGCCTCGTCCGCAATGTTGTGCCCCCGCTGCTCGGTCGTTCAGCAGAAGCGCAACTGGCGGCCCGCGCAATGGAGGTCTTCTGACCCCTACATTCATGGAAATTTGGGCTGTAAGCAGTGCGGGTGTGCTTCTGACGAGGAGATTGACACGCACTTGGCGCGGGTGGGCCGGCTGCTGTCTTTTGCGGCGCCGCACCAAGGCTGGCTTGACTCTTGGATGGAGCGCTGGAGCAATTTGGGGCGCAGCACCATCAAGTATTTGAGCCATCATGGGACGCTGCAGTGCCGACCTGGGGCAGAAGCAGAAGACCCGGGCACCTTGCCACCATTGCTTGTGATACGTTGTATTTGACTTGTTTGTTGTGCGTCTTGCTTTGGGCTGTTTCCATTGTAGTTTTTTTGTGTCGCCCCCTGACTGAGGCAATGCCGCTTTGGCGCTCGCTCTCCGCCTCATTTGGCCCACGCACGGGCGGTGGTTGACCAATGCGGTGACGGCCGGCGACTACATCGAGGCGATTTTCGGGGTGACGAACATCGTCGGCACTTGGACCGGGTTTTCGCGCTTCGTGGCCGTGATGGTGATGAACCTGCGGTTCCTGGTGCGGTCGCTGCCCTTCACCACGTCGCAGCTCCTGCAGAAGATTTGGACCTACTCCGACCTCTGCGAGATGGTGAAGAGCGTCGACCTTGCGACTCGCCGCCGGGCTGCTGCCGCTGGTTGGTGACCTACTCCGGCCTCTGCGGCGAGATGGCAGTCGACCTTGCGACTCGCCGCCGGGCTGCTGCCGCTGGTTGGTGAGTGTTGGCTGAGCTTTCGGCGGTGCTTTTCGACTCGCCGCCGGGCTGCTGCCGCTGGTTGGCATTGGTGAGTGTTGGGTGAGCTGGCGGCGGTGTTTTTCGGTCAATCAATGCATTATTAAATAGACAGTCTGGGGGAATTTTATTTAAAGAGGATGACATGTGGAGTGAAACTTGACCCCATTTCAAATTTCTGGAGTACACCAAACAAACATCTGGCCCACCAAAAGAAACCATACTTGGTCCACCCTCCCCACGCATCTAAGATCTACCAATGAACAAAATAGAAATTGACAAATAATTGATTGACCGCTTAGTTAGCTACGGAATCCACCGGTCAAAAACTGACCGCTTAGGCTTAGTTAGCTACGGAATCCACCGGTCAAAGACTGGTATTAATGTCGGAATCGTCAGCTGAGTAACTTGCCCGGCGAGACCATCGGCAACCCTGCGCGACAGCGCCTTGAAAGGAAAACATCGGCGGACTTGTCAAACATTTGCAGTTAGACATGCAATTCATGTAGCAAATAAAAAGAGGGAATGGAAAGAATTGATGGCACTTTTATCAGGCAGTTTCAGGCCCTGCCCTGCCAAATTTTGCCAAATTTTGAAACTAAGGTAATCGTTGAACCTCGTGACTGTGCGTGTTTTGTGGTGGGCGCTTCATTTTGCAGCAAGTTGTCCAAGTCGTTGAAGGCGTTGTCGATTTGCGTCTGGACGATTCAAGGCAATTGCCGCGACTTAGACTTGGCCAGCACTAAGCCGCCCGTCGAGTTCCATCCGGGCGGCTCAGGGCTTGTCAAGACTAAGACTTGGCATTGGCCAGTCCGGGCGATTCAAGGCTTGCCAAGCCTTGGCCAGCCCTAAGTCGCCCGTCGAATTTACATCCGGGCGACTCAGGGCTTGCCAAGCCTTGGCTAAGTCGGTCGAATTGAATTTAGGCGATTCAGGGCTTGTCAAGCCAGCCCTAAGTCACCCGTCGATTTGCATCCGGGCGACTCAGGGCTTAGCTTGTCAAGCCTTGGCCTTAACCAGCAGTAATCGCCTGTCGGATTAGTCTAAATTTAGTCACTCCCTGGCCAAGCCTGACTGGACGCAACAGACAGTGCGTGTCCGCGTGTGTGCCCTCCATGGCTGCGAGCGATGACTCACCGGGGGCATGGGGAATTTTGAATCACGTAGCCATTTGGCCAACAGTCCCAGCGCAGCAGGTTCACCAGAGGGCGCAGTCAGTTGCCACAAATCTCGCGATGGAGCTGGAATGCGACTTGGCATTCGCCAAGGCCGACGAGTTCAGCGTGGAGATCGTCAAGGCGGCTAAGAGTGAGAAGCCAACGGCGAAAAACAATGAGATGAAGCAGATCCAGGACGAGGAGGACAGCGGCAGCAACGCTGCAGTCTTTGCGGCTTTATGGCGGAGAAGGCGCAAGACGTGGGAGAGCACTTATCTGGTGGGTAGCTGCTTGCCAAAAGACATTTCCTTTCCTTCCGCAGCAGCTGCAAAGCTGGCCAAGCAACCCTGGGTTCTGGGGACTACAACCGGCTGCGGCTGCCTCCCATGCAGCAAAGCAGGTCTCTCTAGCGACTGGGCCCGTGGAACTGTCAAAGGCTTTCGCGCCTGGTTCTTGCACAAACACCAGGAATCGCACAACCACGTGCACGCGGTCAAGCAAATGCTCTGCATCGGCGACGGCGGCGGCGCTGGCGAGGCGATGGCGCTGTCAGAGTTTGAGGCCTTGCTGAAGAATCTGCAGGGCGGACGCTCGCAACGAGGAGACTCAATGTCATTAATTTGATGTTTCTCGCAATGTGCTTTCCTCTTTTGACCGATGAAAACATTGCATCTGAGAGTCCGGGTTAATTAAAATTAAGTCGGCTGAGGCTGTTCAAGCTTTGAAGGGCAATGCTCTGACAAGACTTCGCTGATGACGTGGTGCCTGCACGAGGCAATCACGCAAGCGGACCGGGATTTCCTCAAGACTTGCGAGACCGTCAGCTTGACAAGAGATGGAAGGCGCCAGCGGTTGCTAATCCGGTTTGGCGGCTGCAACGACGCTTTGGCCACACGTTAGCAAACATTTGTCGATTGCTTTGTCTCCATCATGTCATTGGTCATCTGTCAAAGTTCCCACAGCACGGCCCCTCGACCTTACAATCACACATGATCGAAACAGCAACTACTAAATTTAGTAGTTGCCGTTTCGATCAGTGTTGTGGGAACTTTGAATTGCTTGGCTTTGCTTGACGATTGCCAGGACAAGTTCCAGATCCGGTACGGGGTTCTTGGTCTGGCACGCGGGTGTGGCGAAGCCATTGCAGAAATAGCCGCCTGACTCTATTATCAGCATGTTTTTCAGACCCAGTGTCGTTGCCGCCATTCCCTTATAATAAACATTGACAACCTGTCGGGATTGCTGCCTGTTGCCGCTCAGTTTGCCAAGGCTCAGGGGACACGAAAGGTGCTGCGTGACTTCTGCACGAAGTTCCATGAGCCTCCCAGATCCTACGCTGGACCCCCGCCAGAATTCGACGAGAACCTCTACGACATGCTGCGGCAACGCATCGAAATCATCTTGACGGACGCTGCTTCTAATGAGATTGGGGCATCCAACGTGAACCGCGGGCGCCGAGACCCTCGCATCGAGGCGGACGACGCTGACATCTTGCTGCCAGGTTTGAAGCTGGTCGCGCGTGACCACGCCCACGCCTTCCGCCGTGTGCTGAAGCGACCTTTCCATTGCAGCAGTTACTTGGGCACCCTGATGGCGGAGCATGTTTTGGGAAAGAAGTCGATTGTGCAAGTGATCGACAGGTCCTTTGTCTTCAGGCAATGGTTTCAGGAGGAGGTTGAGAAGCATCACGGGACCATCAGCAACTTGAAATCAGCGACTTGTCGTCTCAAAAAGCAAGACTTTATTAACACCGTTTGTCGAAGCAGCCAGGTTTCCTGTTTGGCTGACTGAGGCGAAACACCGCTTCGAGTCGCACACGACCCCGCTGTGCCGACTGATTAGCAACCTTCCTGCCATTATGTCAGTTGCGCAACGGATCATCCAGCATCGGCAAGACGCCGTAGGCAAACATGTGAAACAATGGCTGGATGATTTCAGCAGCGAAGCGGTCCTTGCCCTGGCAATGGTAGCAGACGCTTCAGACGAATCGCTGCTTCTGATTCGCCAAGTGGACGACGAAGCGGTGGACAGCTCAGAGCTTGGGAACTACGTGCAGGGCTTCGCGGACCGCATTCAAGCCCTTTTTGCTCAGCGGCAGGCGCTGACAACAGTTGGATACACCAAGTTTGCCATGGACATGCTGTCCAAAGGCGAACTTGCGTTTTTCTCTTGTGGGCAGGCTCGGCGGCTGCAGCCTTGCGACGGGGACACGGTGGAAAGATGCCTGGATCGCATGGTCGCTTGGTCCCGCTTAGCCTTGGAAGTTCTTCAAACTGAGTTTCCGCACTACTCCGTCTTCAGCGCCTTCGGGGCCCCTGGGCTTGAACAGAACTAAACGATGATAATCTTACTTGTTTTGATGTTAGCCTGTTTATCGACCTTAAATTAGGAAGCCTTCCTCTGAGAGCTTTTCCAAGGTGTTTTCCTTGAAGTCTGTGACCAAGCAGCAAACCGCTTTCCAGAGCGCCGGGGATGACAGCTGCAACAGGTTGGCCAAGTTCTTCAATGTCAGCCCTGGCGGCTTCCAGGAGCAGCTGCAGCGTTTGAGGCCCTTGGCTGAGAAGCGCTACAGGGAGACCAACACGACGTGCAAGGATGCGTGGATGCACACAATGGCAGCGACGCAGCGGCGGCAGTCATTGAAGGACTTTTAGTTGTGGGATAAAATTACAGTCCACTTTTTCGACAGGCGGGTCCCCGCCCAGGAGTCCTATCCAGCAGATGACCTGGCCATCGTCGTGCGCCGGTATTTGGGTTGGCAAGCATCGTCCAGCGGCGTGGAGCAGAACTTTGCAAAGGGCGAGCGGAACAACGCCACTGGCCATTCCCAAGCATCCGCGTCGTACGATGCAAGGGCCATGAAAATATTGTTGGCGCCACTAAGCCCCCCGGATTTCACGGTCATTGTCACGAACGCGGCGGAACTCTATGCAACTTGCCGCTCTGGCGCCCTGGCGTGATTCCACTTGCCACTTTAATATGTTTTAACACCGTTTGTTTTTTGCTGGTTTTCGTGTGTGTTTAAGAACATTGACTTGTTCGCCTGGCCAACGTCATTATCATCTCACTTGTCCGAGGCGCAAGCCGCAAGCGGACGCAGGAGCGGATTGACAAGAATGTGAAGCGCGCCAAGCAGGAGGGGACAGAAGCAGCGTTTATCAGATCCAGGCGGGACAGTGTTGCAAACGCAACATCCTCTTTGAACATGGCCGACCTGGCCTTCGACATGGACGAGCACCCGGCCACAAATGACAAAGTGTCTGAGTACTGGACTGAGAGTTACGAGGTTGAGTACCAGTTCCAAAAGTCAAAGCAAACACATTACAAGGTGGACGGCGTCCTGGACGGCCTCATTGATCAAAATGCAGTGGACCAAGAAACTATGGAGACAGCAGCCAAAGCTGAGCGCGACGCGGACAAGAAGCATATCAGAGACAGGCTCTCCAAGGACGCTTTGCAGATGCGGCTTAACGGCTCCATGGATTGGGAAAAGATTCAAGGCAGCAAGGCTTGGCTGGACCCCGCCATCTCTGTTGCAGACTTGCAAGTGGCAATGAGCGCCCGAAATTTGGTCAAAACCACGGAGCGATTGGAGGCAGACATTTTCATTGTCAACGACGCTGGCAATTTGCCGGAGAGGGTGAAATTGATGGCTGCCTTGCTTGGTCGGCAGATCATGGATGTCTGCCTCCTGGAAGGCAAGAAAGGGATCCTTCTGAAGTTTCAGCCTGCCTCGCAGACGCGGCGTCAGAAGG